AGGAACATTCAATTTATGCATTTTTCAACGAAATGGAAGTATCTATTTTACGTTTTGATAAAAATGAATTGAGTAAGCTCAAAAACTGAAGAAAAAATTCGATTTATACTTTCTTTTTTTCTACAGATAATCCTGTACAGTTTACATTTCCCAAACGGCAAAATTCTGGTTTATTAAATTTTTTTTGGAGCACAAAGTAAGATCAACAAATATTTTTTTAACAAGACAGAATTAATAGCAGAATGTCTTATTTTAGATCTAATAAAAACAATTCCGTCCAACAAGATGCAATTATAACTAGCCACAAAACATTTCCATACAATAATATGTTAATGACAACTGTGTTGTATGATAATGGACAATTACGTATTTTGACGGAAGAGGTAAGCCGATTTCATATTTATATGCACTCTACTGTTGTTGTTATTTTTTGAAATCAAGAATTCTATTAAAAATTGAAAAAGTTTATCTTGGAATACTCAAAGAATTTCGTTTTATGAATCTATCGGCAGAGTCAGGGTTTCTGGTTGTTCTTAGAGATTAGGAGGGCCTAAAAATTTTGCTTCGCAGAAAGTGGCTGGCGAAAAAAAGTTTTCAAAACTTTTGGCAAAAAATTGTTGGTGGAAAAACGCCAAAAATTTTTCCAGAAAGTCCACAAACTTTTTTAAGGGGGCAGCCTCTCTGGACGGAATGTTTGAGTTTTTTACATATTATGTTTATTATTGTTCTTTCCAGCTTGAGCATATTATTCATGAATATAATATTAGTGTTGATCTCCTTAAACATTATCGTGAAAGTCCTAATTTGGCCAAAAGTAAAATGTTTCTTGATTATTGTCAGTACGAATTACATGATAACAATAGTGTAAATCTAATTACCCGTTTACTGGTTGCAATTGATTTTAATGATTCCATCCATTTATTTATCTATGAATTATATTTTAATTCATCATCAACATTTACCTTTACATTATTCAAATCAAAAGTTTATCGAAAAGAACAATCGTTAAATTGTTTGATACCTCCCTCCTCATCAATGAATTCTCTATCGTTTACCAATGAATTTATTTTATTAAATTTTATATCGAATCAAAGTCTACCAGTACTTATAATGATTCAATATGATCAAACTTATTTTAATATTTATTCAATACCAACGCCAAACATTTCATTACCAATTGATCTTTCAAATTCAATATTATCAAAACAAAATTCAACAGCAGATAGTATGATTGAAGATACTGTACTTTCTATTGACGATATTGAACAACGATTAAGTTATCCAGGAACATTTTCAATGGATATGCTAAAAGAAGGATTATGGATAACGTTTAATATAAATCTTGATGAATATGAACAACAGTGGACATCATTAGCTCAAATATTGAAACAATTACCACCAATATTACAGTCACTGGTAAGTAATTGCTTTCCTCATCAATAATTGTCAATAATAATATATCCATTTAGGCCGATGAACATTGTGAAGAACATCGTATTCCTGAAAATGAACGTATTCAAATATTAAGAAAATTTTGGCAAAATCTTTACGATACATTAATTGATCTTCGTGCAAATGCACTCGTTCCATTGGGTTTTAGAGTATTTGAAGAAAAAGATCTTGTTGTTGTTATCAACAAAGTAGGAAAGACAGTCAATATTATTTTTATAGTTAACATCTGCCTTTTCAATTTATAGGCTGCTATTTCTTTGTATTCAATGGCACAATTTGTTCCAATAGAACATACATCGATTACTGATCGTTATCGTTTAGATTGTCTGACAAAATTAGAACAATTGATGAAAACGTACGATGATAATACATTATTGGATATAGATGAAATGTTATTAAATGAATCGAACGTTATTGATCAGCAACGTACGAACAAGTAAGTACTATTGATTGTTTCTCTTTCTCAACTATTTTTTTCGTTCAGTAATCACTAGTGTTTGTTGGTTAACGAGATCAATTCATGAGACACGAATAAAAAAGCTAATCTAACACTGTTATGTTTGGGTTTTTTAGCCATTTGTTAAAAATTCATCAGAGTTTGAAACAAATAATTACTGGTGATTATTTGGTTGATTCGATTCGAATTTTATTTGACAAATCTGCTACTATACACAATCAGTCGGGTGAGTAACAAATACAGAAATGAATGCTCTGTTTATTTTTATGTTTTTTGTCTTATTAATTTAAGGTTTGAATATTCTCAGTCAATTTTCTTCTAAAGTTGGACGTCGTTTATTGGCGCAATCATTTGTCAAATATTGCGAACAACGAATTATCTATCTCCAACGTTTATTGAAAATAATACCGTTAATATTTCGAGCCAATGAAGACGATGTAATATTCAAAGTCAAAGTCGACAAAAAAACTATTTTTAGATGCTTATGTATTTGTTTTTTAGATTATTCTTTCGGCTGAACAAACGGATATGATTCAAGAAAAAGTATTACCATATATCCAAGAACTTTTACTTATCTATAAATTATTATATTGGCTTTCATCTTGTCATTGTAATCAAGAATCAACGAAAGATGATCGGTAAATATTAGTTCCGAATTTCTAATATTATATTGTAAAATTTTTTTCTTAAATCAATAGAGACTTGTTTATACAAAACTTATTTGCAAAACATACTAATAGAAGTCGTACAGGTACGCATGATCTTGTTTATTAGACGAAAGACTTCTTATAGCCATTGTTTTTCTCTTCTTTTAGGAAATCAGTCACTTCTTGAACAAATAATAGTCGATGATTTACAAGACGTACCGTCGCAACCAAAAAGGACTAGAAGATCAACAACAGATGAAATGGATCATGATGCTGATAATGAAACGTCCGAAATTTGGTTTAAAAATATATTGATGGCAGTCAATTCACTCTTTTCATTATTGTATTCTTTTTTATTTATATACAACTATATTTATATTCAATTATCCTCTATTTTTTCTTAACATTCACACTTTAGATGGCCGAATAATGATTTTATTTTGACATACTTGGCAGTTAAAAATCAATGGACAACATTGAATCGTTATTGTGAAAAATTAGATTGGTATAAAGACATAAATGCTGGGAGGTATGATTTTCATGTAGTTCTTACATCTTCATATGATATTTTACTTGTTTATTTGTTTAGACGTTTTCTTCATGCATTGAGCTTCTATCGTTCGGGTAATACACAACTAGCTACACGCTATTTAGCTCTGGTTATGAAAGAATTACATAGTGATGAATTGTTGAGAAAAGTTTTTTGTTCTCAAACGAAAAAATCACCAGAATTATTTTATATTGAACGAGTATGTTAAACAAAAATTGAGCGATAAGATAGAAAGAACACATTTTGTTTATATTTTAGATACGTGAATATTTGTGTTATTTTGGTCAAAGCCAAAATGTATCAGAATTTTTACATAATGCATTACAAGGCGATAGTCATTCATCTGATACCAGAGTATGTATTTAAAAAAATCTGACAGATTGATTGCTTTTATTGTAACGTATTTTTATTTTAGTCATTAATCATTACAGAGTTGTTTCGAACAAGTTTAGAACTGAAAAATTACGATGATGCATTTTGGTGTGTTCAACAAATAAAAGACTTTTTATGGTAAAATTTCATTTTCTACTTTGTTTAACTTTTATCTAGCTTGTTTTCATCCTTTAGTCAGAAAAACTTTATACTACAATATGCTTTGTCTGTTTGTGATGATGGTGATAATGGAGAATTTCATCGACTACGAACACTTGTGCAATATCAAGAAGATAAACTTAGCCATACGGATTTAGAATTATTAGCCAATTTAGAACAAACATGTGTTATGACACATCCAATGAAATCATCACATGTTTATGGATTATATGAAGTATATAAAATGTTAAAATATTATTTGAAAAGTAAATAATCAATTTAAAATTTAAAATTTATTTCATTAGAGAAAAATGTTTAGTTACTTTTTAAGATATATTATTGAGACTCGAATGTTTATTTTCTCGTTTAGTGGCTCAAATTACTTATCATTATGGTTGTTATTTACAACAAACAGATGGTATGAATAATTTAAAGGAACAACGATCGCTATTTCAGCGAGCATATGAAGCTATGTTACAGTTAGAAGAATTAACATCGCTTGAGAAATCTCTCGATAATACTGATATGCTTTTTATTTATCCTATCAACAATGAATATAATGTAGGTAGAAAAACTATTCTTTCTCTATCTTGAAAATAAGACGAATAGCATATTTTTTTTATGTTTTAGTCTATTGCTCCAATGCGAGATATGAATAATAATGTACGTTTGATTGATATAAATGAATGTCGTCGAAAATATTATTTAGTAACTGCCTTATATACATTACGTGTCAACTATAAATCACATCAATTAAATACATCCCAATTATCGATTCTAATGCATCCAAGTGAAATCAGTGGACTTTTAAGAAAAGTTAATGAAAATAAACAAGCTGAACAACTTTTAAAAGCCTATCATTTACCAATCACGTCGGTGTCTAATTATTAAAAAAATATCAAATGGGGCATTATTTTGTCTATGGTATTAGATCTATCAAAATTGTTGTGAGTAGTCTGTCTGATATCTAAGTCAGTTTTTTTCTTAGCATATCCATTTATGTACATGATAATTGTTTGTTCTAAAGTGTTTTTTTTCTATTTTTCCTGTAAAAAATGGTTTATGGATGTGTTCTTGTTTTTCTTTTATTTTATATCAATTAGGAAAATTTTAATAAATAAACTATTGCAAAAAGAAAATCTGAGAAAAATAAAATGAATTAATGAACGGAAGAACTTTTGAATATGAAGTTTTGGAGTCATTTTATTTATGCATCCCATCCCTATCTAATAAAATAGCAAATATGTCGGAAAACTACAGTTTTGTCTCCTGAGCTGAACGATTGAATTTACCCCACACTTTTTTAAAGAAAAAAGCTAGAAACTATGAAGCAGACATTTCATTTTTTGGGAGAGAAAAAGCATCACGAAAAAAACTCATCTACGTCGTTATCTGGAACGTCATGAACTTCTGGTTTAATATGATCTGTTTTGGTAGACGTCGGTTGTGGTTCATGTTCCTTATCTTTAATTTGTTCTCTAGATGTTGATATTTTAGGACCAAATGGAGGTTTATAGATATCCTCTGGACTCGGACTTTGTTCAGATGTTTTTTGATTAATAGATTGATTCGAAGCTTTTTTGTCTGATTGTCTACCAGTCGATTTTTCACCGCCTATTATCGCTCTCGATTGATCGTCGAGCCATTTAAAAAACTGTGCTTTATCCGTTGCATCACCTTGATCGTGGTTTTCTGTGCCATATTTAATCGGTGATTCATTATCCGATGTTGGTTTTATTGCTGAAGAGAAAAAGTTCTCGAATATTTTCTGGATAACAAAATTTCAACTTACTTTCAGATGTTTTTGACAAGTTCTTCTCTTTCAGCGGACTCCTTTTCGAATCTTTTAAGCTTTCATTCCTGTCATTGTTTTTTACAAGCATATTCTCTTTTACTTCTTCTGGTTCTGACGTGGGTGTCAATGCTAGAAGAATAAACATATTTTTAAAATGTTTCATGTGTTTTAGTATTATGTATTATTTACTTCTTTCTGGAGTTGAAGGCACATCACCTTTACGCTCGGTTTTTTTTTCAATAACGACTGACTTTTCTTTTCTGTCTCGTCGAAGATCATCTTGTTCGTCAATAATCATACTATCTTTCGTTGGATCTTTAGAACGTTCTTTAGATTTCGGAACAGATGGTAACACTGGAAATAGAAGATGACAATTAAAAATGTGCAGAGTTATGCGTAAAGAAGTTTGACCTACTCTGTTCAGCTGTTATATCCGTTGATGTCTTTGGTTTTGGTACGATTTTTGGTTCATGATTGATCGAACTCTGTCTTATATTTGTTTGTTCTCTTGTGCCTTCAGCAGTCTTATTGGTGCTTTCGATAAGTTTCTTTTCTGTGCTATTTATTTTTGTAGATTTTAACATCTGTTTTTCGTCATCTGTGTCGATTTCCGATGATTCTATTTTCTTTTTTATTGCATTTGGTGATTTCAATTTGACACCCGTCCGTATATTTGATGGTGTTTCATCTTCACTGGCTGAAATTTTTTTGGCTGAGACTATTGGCTTTTTCAATTTTGGATCTAACTTTTCTACTTTTGGTTTCGGTACGTTTTTATTTGTACTAGTAGCACGTTGCTGTGATTGAACGGGTTCTGATTGACTTCCACTAATGTATTTTGTTGTAGGATCCATTTTTATAAATTCTGGTTTTGATTTGGGATCAAAATTTTTGATCGCTTTATTTTTGTCGATTGTTTTCGATGCTGATGTAGGAATAGATTCTTGTTCGTGCACTCGTTTTGTTGATTGTGGATCAAATGCTTTTATTGATTTTTGATGACGTATTTTGTCATCAGGTCTCAAACTCAAATCCATAGATTTTTTATGTTTTCCATTCTGTATTGATCGATCAAAAGATCTTTCTTGGGATGAATCACTCATGTGAAATGAAGCACTGTTGGATCTTACTCGGTACGTAAGAGATGATGGCTGCTTAAATGATGAACGGTGATCTGAATGGTCTAAATTAAAAGTACAACAATATAGCCTAAAATGTGGAAATTAGTAATAAATGTATTACTTCTACTTTTTGATAATCTCATACTCGCTTCGGTTGGTGTATCATTGTAGTTTCGTTTATCAGAAAGCTTTGATTTATATTTTGTCGATGAATGGCGTCTCTGAGACTTGTGACGTGATGATTTGTAGACATCAATGTCAAATTCACTCAAAGGTAATTGCATATCGTTAACTAACCGTGATCGTTTATTCGTATGAATGGATTTTCGTTGAGACGAATAATTATTGTAGGTCATGAGATCGTCACTTGAATATGTATCGGATGTTGGCATCATTACTTGATCTAATCTTGACAATGGTTGCCGCCTTCTTCCTTGGATACTGTAGGATACTTTAGCATTATGTCTTTTGGGCTAAATGACATAGTCAAATTTCTTTGTTTCAAGAATACAATTAGGTACTATATCGAGACCTACTTGGTCATCTGTAGTATTTCCATTTGTATAATCTTCGTATGGATGACGCTTATTAGGTGGATAGTTGTAAACATCGGATGACTGAACATTGAATAATCTGGAATAACGATCATGTTGATTATATTTTTCTCGCGGTGATAAATCATCTAACATTGCTAATGCGTCCGATAACTGATTATTACTTATTCGTAATTTTACTAAAGCAGCATTCGATCCAACAGTATCATCATCTTCAAGTTCTTTATAACATTTGTTGACAGGATGATGTACGATAACAGTCGACTGTGGCCTGTATGAATCGAGTGACAAAGTTGAACTTGTTGATCTAGGTGTGAGATAGTTGAACGTCGAATCAAAGAAATCATGTGAATTGTTATCGGATAAACTCGAATAAGATAATGGTGAAGTGATACGAAATGGCGAACGAGAACTGCTATTTCGTGATGTCAAATGAAAGTCATGCTGTACAGGTGGCATTGGAATGTAAACAGTTGGATGAAAAACAGTGGGAGTGGCGTTATAAGCAGAACTAAAATTTGACATAACTTCAGCATAACGTACAGATTCGTCCATTATGATGGAACAAATTCTAAAATGAGAAGGTAAAGGAGGATACTAGTGAAAACCTAATTTTATGATGAAACCACTATCAAGGCCTTATTGTATGTACTTTCGATCTTTCATAGGACACTCATATGTGCAGTAGCGGATTCAGAGTTATTCTTAGATAAGTATGGTCGCTATTAAAACACAAACTTCTTAGGCAATTCTACTGCTAAAAGTGATTATTTTTCTCAATAAGTAAGAGCTGTAGCACCTCTTTTGAATCCGCGCTTATCCAGTTGGTAGATTTCTCAGACGATTAATGTTGGAAAAAAGATAGATCTTTTTGGCTAGAATTTTTCTCGAAATAATTTATTAGAATTCTACTATGAACTTTAATGTTCAATTAAAATCTGTTGTATTTTCCACTTGCAGATTTTTAGACACAAAATCATTTAATTTGTTAAATGTCGGGTCACGATAAATGTTCGATAAAAATTTTTCTTTCCACAAACGCGACTATCAGTGTATTTTCAGCTTGAAAGGCGTTGACAGTTGCGATTGTTGAAAGGAAATTTATCTGACATCTGACATCGTTATCTCCATGATCAGATTGGGATTTTGATGGTTGCCATAGTGCACAATAATAATTATGTAAAGGACTCATCGAAACTGTGCGTTATTCCATACGGTTGTTGCTTTTATAACGTGATTTATTATACAAATACCATAATAATAGTATAATCTGTATATCGGTTTTTCTTCATCGATTATCAGACTAAAGAAATTTTATCGAGTACCAGAGTCGCTAATCTATAGTCAACAAGAAAAATGTCATTGCAAATTTTATGTCCAACACTGCCATCTGCTCTGTTCTTCGCTCAAAAATAAAGTTGGTTAATTAACCAACTAACGTAACAAAAAGCAGTTCTAATGAAAAGAAAGAGAGGCTCATTTAATTCCGAACACTCCATACCTGTTTCAGTTCTGTTCGCTTTGAAAAGTCTTGTTACTAATTTCATACAGCGTCACTCTAGTCGAGACTCCCGGCAAAATTCCCACGGGACTCCTGCAGGAGTCAGGTGGGACTTTCAATGGATTTCTCAGGGCTCCTGTGGAACTTTCGAGTCCTGCGGGAGTCCAACGAAAGTCCTCAGAATCCTCAAAGTCTCACGGGAGTCCTGAGAAATCCCTTGAAAGTCCCACCTGACTCCCGCAGGATCCCGTGGGAGTTTTACCCAGAGTCTCAAGTAGGTCATGTAATCACTTTTAGTAAGAAACTACCTCGAACTCACTCTCGCAGTGCTTACTCCGCTCTCTAGGAAGCTGCTCTTTTTAGTATAGGTAGATAAAATCTAAAGCAGTTTTCCCCTTAAGTTGCAACGTTTTTCTATTTGCTCCAAAAATGTTATGGCATTTCCTTGGAAAACTGGACTTCTTTAAAAAATCCTTTGCTACCGGCCATTATATACGCAGATTCAGCGAACCTCAAAATAGTTCAGACTATTTATCTTGTAAAAGATGTTCACTATCTTTACTGAATTTCTAAAAAAACGAAGGAGGCTGAGCCTACCTCAGCGAAAAATCCTGGTGCCACCACTACACTAGTGTCCAAACATTTCAGCAAGTAACATTACCAAATCGCTTTTTGCGAAGACAGAAACTTTAATCTGATGACAATCTTTTCCCTAGAGTGATTCCAATGTTTATTAATGATGATGTAACAGAAAACAAAACAAAAAACAAGTTGTTCCAATGTTGAACTCTCGAAATAGAAACAAGTGTAGACTTACTTTATTAAATCGTTTTTGAATTGGCCGTTAAGCGAGAGGCAACCGAAACTAACGCGAAGGCCCAAAAGGATTAGTTTCACAATACATCCTGCATGAATGGTGGTTTGTACTAAACGCACCATGTTAATAAATCAGGTCTAGCTGCAGATACAGCAACACTTGTGGAATCGAAATTTCATCAGAAAACTTGAAGAGAACGAAAAACGAATCATAATGTTTGATCAAAAAAAGACTTTTTTTGGGAACCAGATTTCTTCGCATCACAGAGAAATTGTCAAATCGATTCCACAGGTAGAATTCGTCAACATGATAAGCTATTCTCTGTCATATCATACTCACATGATTTTCAGAAACGAATTTATGATAAAAATGCTTTTTAACCCGATCACTACAATCCTTAAATAAACCAAACCTTTCTGCAGAAACTTCCAATTAAATTTTCACCTCAACGCACAAGACATCTATATCTTGTTCATTTTCTCTCTTAAATTAACTCTTGTAGAAAATTTCATTACGTATATTTCTCTCATTTGTCTTACAGTACCCCACAAAAGTAGGGAGCCCGCTGTAACTCAAGAGCCATAACAGCTAGGAATTTCTAATTTTGTGTAGTCATAGCTCTTACCGAATGCTGATCACCCACCAAGTTTGGGCCTCTTTTACTAGATGGCTCGTGAGATATAAGTGATTTATCATTTTTTCGTAAATTATCAATAGCTCCTGACTTAAGAGAGATGAAAACTTTTTCTTTTTATTAAAATGTAGCCACGACTCTACTCTGTCTACGATATAAAATTTTGTGAGTTGGCTGTTGGTAGTCAGTGAAATACAGCTATTTTACGAGCGAGGTTCGCTTTTCTTTGTCGAAAAGTCGAGGCCCGTCGCGAAAAAAGTGTTGACGTAGGTGAAACTTTTGTCAGAAGGATTACACACTCACTTCTGACCTTCGCCATTTCATTCATTTTGCGTCCTTTTCACTTCCCTTATATTTTCAAGCAAAACTGATAACATATTTGAGAGCAGCAGACAAACCTGGGTCGAATAGCATACTTAACATTCGATTTTCGAACAAAAAGTTTTCATTCAAAATTTTCTCTCTAAATGAGAGCTAAAATACTCCAGACTGATCAAGTAAATGCTGTAGACACATTGTGGTAGAGTGAGATAGGGATTTACAAAATTCGCAGACTTTGGCTCTCAAAGCTACAAATTCCAGTAGAGCAACATGTGTTCTGTTCAATGAAACTCGTGTTTAGCCAAAAAGTACGACCATTATTAATATTTTCCAATTTTGCAGGTACGATTTCGCATATGTGTGAAGATCCAATTCACATATGTTTCTGGGTACAGATAGTATTCGACCTATACTACTTGTGCTGCAAGTACGAGCTCTAGCTCTGCTGCGTAGATCGAAATATGACGACTGTAAAATGCAGTTTTCTACACGTGCTCTTGTTAGGGCTTTTACAAAATATGCTAGAAGTCCTAAAGGAAGCATTATCTCATCAAAAGATTTTGGGAATCTTCTTAAATGTGTTACCACACTTAGGAATTGGAGGCAAAATTCGACTAGTACCGACAACAATGATAGTCGAGCGGGTATGCTTGTCGAACAACAGTCGAATCAATCGGTTCAAAAATCGAGAGATACCCATAGTTGGAGCTTTGGTGGTGCTCATGGTTGGTCGCAGTGTGGCCTCCTATATTTCCTCAAAGATAGTGCAGCAGAATTACAATTTCTCAAAATAATATTCACCTTGTGTGCTTTGGAAACGAAATACATGTAAGCCAATTTAACTTTTTCTCAATCTTCAACTCTTTCTCAGGTATCATCTTGTCGTAGTGTTTAGCCAAAATGTGCTTCTCTACACGGAGATCCACGTGGAAAGTAACATCTTAACATCACATTTTGTTTATTTGCTACAAACCATGCGAAAATGGAAGAAAACAATAATATAACATTACTTTTACTACTCATTGTATACCCAGGGCAGAAAATCCGATGGGTGATGTTTCGGCCTGTGCAGTGAAAGTTTGTTTTGCATTTCTTGTCAAGATCCTGTTTCTCAAAAAATACTTTACATAAGTGAAAAATTTGACTTAAGTAAGATTTTTTCCTAAGTGAGTTTCTGGAAAACATCGTAACTTAAGGAACCTCACGACCACCCTTAAGTTTTCACATAATGTTTTAATTGAAAAATTATTTATAATTTGTAACTTTTTTCTTTTTCCGTAGTCAGACCCACAATAATTAGATAGGAAATAATTTTAGAAGTTTTTTGTTCAAAAAATTTCATAAAAATAATCTAAATTTGTTAAATATCAGTGGTTTTACTGCATGACCTCTGTTTAACTTAAGTTTTTCTGAGAAACGCACTCACGGGGAAACTTAAGTGTCCCTTAAGTACTTCATTTTCCCCCTAAAAATCCACTTAAGTGGAATACTTAAGTTTTTTTTGAGAAAGAGGTGTCTGACATTTGTCAGTAGCGGCGCTTATCTCTTCCTATTGGTGCAAAAATGGATCAGTCAAAAACTATAGATAGGAGTTTCGTTCTTCCTTTTTCCTTATTCCATATCAAACGACTCGAAAACACAAGTAACGCTCATCTGCAATTCGCAGAACCCTTACTGGAAGGATGCCTCTTAATAGGCATCTTTGCCCAATTCTAACCAGGACTTAAACTTTAAGGTCAAGATAAGATACAATGAATAATCATGGTTACGCTGTCATTGTTGTGTCTTATTATGTTGATAATCAGGACAGATGGACCCGCAGTAAAGGGTAAAGTTTGCATTGGTCAAACGTTTAATTGAAAACATAAATTTTTATCGGCAACTTTGCAATTTTTGAAGTAACCACTAACAACTGCCTTACTTCTTACTAGTAAGAAAGTAATACATGTGTGTTACTTTGTTACTCTTGGTAAAGTAACAAAGAACAGGTTTTTTGTTCTTTTCTCAAAAAAGCTTTCTGAAACGGGTTTTGTGGGGACGAGGGTGAAATAATTCCACCCTCACCCTCACTAAATCTTTCAAAAAGCGCACTCGTCAAAGTGCAGTTAAGTTTTTAAAATATTATTGAGTCGTTCTCCCTCGATGTTGTAATTTTGGCACAGGTTTTCCATTTCTTTTCAAATATAAGTGTTATATGGCTTTATGTAAAAGTTAGAATATTTTCTCTCCACTATATATCATTTTTTATACATCTCTATGCTTGTGCTTGTCTATGTTGTCGC